TGGCCCTTGGGCTACCCACATTTTGTGGAGAGGGAGGACCTATATGGTAAACCATATATCACACACACGCGCGCCGAACCGAGCCGAGCCGGGCTGGGCTGGGTCGGGTTTGGGTTATTAAACAAACTTAATTTTTGTTACCGGTTTGATTAATATTCAGTTACAAAACGTTTTACTGTTTTGGTTTAAATTTTTCCGTTACATTGCTTGATTCTCGTTGCTGTTTTACTGCTAAACGTTGCACCGTTACACTGATTTAATGCCTTGATTCTTGCTTAACGAATACACTAATTGCAGTAAACGTTGCTAATCTTTCTCCCGTTTTCATGCTTAAGCTGTTACGTAATTTACCTATAAAAGGACGGTTCCAGCTTTGTTTTTAAATACACGGAAAAAAATACAGAAAACCACTTTGCAAAATATATTTTCTCTTCCTCTCAAAACAGTCGAGCAGTTTCTTTCTGATTTTCTGGTGTTCCGTTGTCCGGTGGTTCGGTGCAAAACCGCCGGTATTTTATACTTGTGAAAGACTGTTTTATCCTGGGGGCATCCGGTTTGGTACGAGCTGCTTGCACAAGTTTGAGGCAGTGCCGCGAATGTTCTAAAGAGAGCGACATAGTCCGCGACTCAGTCTTATTCTCGGTAACATTGTTCTTACTATTTTATTTGTGCAATTCCGTTTATAACAATAGAACTTACCAAGTTACAATATCTTATGCTTACGATCAAATCAAGCACTTTATTCTCTTCCATGCGTTCTTTAGTATTGCATGGAAATGGTTTTATCAGATCATATTTTGAATAATTCGAATTGATTTTTCTGATTAAAACCTACAATAATCGTAACTTGACTACTATGTCCAAAAATTATATCACTATGTGGGATATCATTATTGCAATTTGTTTACAAAATTGAAGAGAACATGACTTTAGGTATTTCTTTTTTAAAACATATATACTCAATAGTCAATACTCCTCAAAGACAAACTATAAGAAACTACATGCTTAAAGCATCTTCCCTACAAAGACTACAAAATTATATAATTTGTAACCAAGCAATTAATAAATGATTAAACATAAAGAGAAGATCTTCAGATTCTCATAATTTTGTGGACTAATATAAAAGAAAGCAAAATAATTAAAAGTCTGAAGAAGATACCTCGCTAGGAAAAATATATGGATCAATAATTGAGCGGGTGGCATGTGGAATTTTCTGAACGTGACGGCCACGTAATTTTATAATAGAGAATTTCATGATACTTTTTCTGCTAAGAATCTATTAAACTAATATAGTACAAGTATATGTTAATATAAAATTACAATTTATATGATTGGAGGATCATGTTAATTATTTTACTGTTACCTTATTTAATATTTAAGTGTATGTATTTCTCCCTCAGTCACTTACATTATTCATGTGACAGGATCCTTTGCTAGATATGTAATCAAGATGATAGTTGATTAATAGTTAGTTTATACTCCGTAATATTTTAATATTTTAATGGTGGATTTATGGTCTCCATTCTTTTAGAAAGACAAGGGTTTAAATTTGTACGGAGTATAAGTTGATTAAGTTTCTAGCTTAAGAAAGGAAAAGATAATGGCATTAGCACTAATAATAAGGTACGTATTCCTACATAGATTTTGATTCCTTCTACAAACCTATGAAGATTTGGTAATTTGTATGAATAAATGTATCAATATTTATGATCATTTCTTTTTATAGGTATGGGTGATTGGGTGGTGTGAATGTGAGATGATCTGTACGTGTAATATATCATTTCTTTAATTTAATTAGCTTAGATTAATTATTATTGTACGTTATTCTTTTTGGTCTTCAACTTAATTATTTTTGAAGCAAAATTGCATTGTAAATCAACAATTGCGCCATATTGGTTAAGGATTCCTTTGGAAAGGGTCTTGTTAATGTACGAGTTAACATTTTTGACAACGTAATCGGATGGATAATAAAGTCATAAAGATATTCATCAAGGAGAGAATATCTATTACTTCGTATCAATCTATTACTACGATATAATTTTACCATCGTTGAATAATCAAGTAGTTGTTACTTGTTACTCCATGTTAATATTGTCATTTTGAATGTTTTCCTAGTTTCTACTTTATCTTAACTTATTTATATATTTAGTATCAAACTTGAAAGGGCTTAATTTGAGGAAATTTTAAAGCTGTTTTAGTACTGGAACCACTCCAATATGCATGAGTATTGGACCGATTTATCTAATGTTTTCATAGGTCATAGGCTCATAGCCATTTTCATATTTGTAATACAGTGGTGTAAGTGTAATAGGGTCAGAAAATTATAAATTTCAATAATAACTAGTGAGATTTGATTTAATTTATTTAAATTAATGTTGTAAAAGTATTAAATTAAAGTAATTCTTCTTGTCGTAATATGAGGAAAAACATCTACGAAACAGTAAGTATAGTAGCTTGACTGCTTGTTGCCTTGTTGGGGCGACAATGCCTGCTAACCTTAGCAACGAAGCAACTAACGTGGCTAGAGGTTACCTAGAGTAGCCTAGAGGACATACAAAATCACAAAGTCTAAAATTGAAGACATAATAAATTGTTATGTGTAGAAAATTCCAATTGAGAGATGTGCATGCATCGATGCACGTATAAGTTTTAGTTACCTCTTTAGTTCAAATTTATTAATTACTCCTTCAATTTTATTGACTCGGATCAGTAGTTAACACTTAACAGTGTTCTTTTATCACGCTTGTCAATATATTATTTTAATAATTAATATCTCTAATTCTTGACATTGTAAAATTATAAAATATGGATATTAATAAAATATATATTGAGACGGTTCAAACTAGATCACACTTGACTATGTTTATCATAGCTATAAATCACAAAAGAATCAACTATCTAAAAATTGATAATATGGAAGAGATGAACTCTAGAATATCCAAAAGGATCTTACCACAGTAGCCGCCCTCTTAAATTGGCTGGCAATTAGTAAGCGATTAACGCCGAAAGTGGGATTAATATTCTAATGATGGCTCCTAATCAGAGGACAAGCTAGCATTCGTGATTCCTTGGAGGACGCCTGTGCATATAAACCATAACATATAACCAACTTCAATAATTAACCAAAGATCATTATAATTATACCTTGTTTTAGGGTAGCTAGGCTAGCTAGCTAAAGGACAATTGCAACTTGCGGTTATGAGCCTTAATCTAATTATAATAATGTCAAATAGTACTAGTATAAGTAGTATTATGAAAAAAATATGGTCATAAAGTTGAGGTTTAGTACTAACTAGGTACCATATTACTTATTAATACTGTACTTAATTAACTTTATAATTATTGTGGCTACTTTAATCATGCTTTCACCACTATCTATCTACCCCCTAAACAGTAGACAATGTTGTATAAAAAGCAAGTTGTAAACATGGGAGGAGTCCATGATCTACAATAAGTCAATAATTATATATGTACCTTTGTTTGATTAGATTAAGATTGCCTTACAAATTTACAATCCATCGTATGAACGAACATACTTTTATGAACAATTTGCTCCATTTAAGGACTTAATTAGTAATAGTTTAATGCCATTTGATACAATTTTATGAACATTTTTTCTTAAATATATATACAAGAAGTAGTATTTTATAAAATAATGCCATTTGATTGATAATGTATATTATACTCTTAAAGTAAAAGTATTATAGTTTTAATTGTTGATCGATTGGACAAGTAATGTGCTTGTATTTTGAAATATTTTCTATGGCAAGGAAATAACCGTAAATGTTTGTTTAAAATCTAATTTTTGTTCATAAACATTTTATAAATTACTTTTTCCATGCATGGTCATGAAAGCTACCAGTTTTCTTTTTTTTTTAGGAATGCAATTCTTTTTTTATTTTTTAAAGGAAATTCAAGCAAAGGTTGAGTTTCTTATCCTCTTGAAATCAACCTCTAAAAAATTCTACGAATAATAGTGTGCAGTGGCAATCTATGTCATAAGGTCAACGAATGTATTGTTTAAATTATTGAGGATGAATGAAGAAGACGTAAGAAAATAAAAAGTATTCAAGTATTTAAAACCGGATACTTGTTGATTATTTAGATTGACACTTTTTTTTTCCTTTTGATGATAAAGTGATAATCTAGCTAAAGTTGGCAGAGTAAATAATCCATACTATTTTTGTGAACAATATATGAACTTCAACAACTTTAATTTTATTCATTTTATTGCTCATTTGTATGATTTTCAAATGCGTTGTAATTGAAGAAATCAAATTAAGACTAACAAAATGACAATTTAATTAGGATCGATCAAGATAAAACAAATACGATGTAATTAAAGAGAACATGTAATTTTATTGGTTCAAAATAAATTAATTGCACAGTACAGCCTCAACATCTAAATAACCATTATGCATGCATTGATATTTGATGCAAATGATTCCTTCCCCCCTCCCTCGTGCTGCCCTGAGGGGGGACTTGTATTGTATGATTTGTATCATGAATTAGTTGACCAATTACAACATTAGATTGCTTATATTAAAAATAATGTAATACTCTCATCATATTAATTAAAATATTTGTTGTATTGACTGAACAAAATAAACACATGAATTTAGGTCCACAATTCCAAATAGTTTATTTTTTTTTGGAAAATAGAATAAAAAGAGAAATGAGAAGAAGGGGGTTGTGGTGGGGGCCAAATAATAGAGGGTAAAATGGGAGTGAGTGATGAAGCATGGGTGGCACGTGGGAAGGAAAGAGAGCTATAGAATGTTTGACATCTGTTGACATCCACAAGACTACAGCTGTCCCACGGCTGTTCTTGTGACGGCGAAAACGGCGGAGCTCTCCCGTTACCGGGACCACGTGGACCCTCTTCATTTTTTTGACTACTGTGGGCCCCACTCACACCCCCTACCCCAACAATAACAAATACCAATAACTACTCTATACTTTGTCTTCCTTCCTTCCTTCCATTTTTTTCTGCCTATAAATGCAACCCCATTTCTTCTCCCGTCTTTCTCATCTCCCGTCTCTCTCTCTAACCCCTTACTCCCATCTTATTTTCTCTCTCTAGAAACAACAACAATAGTCGTTTTATTATTGGTTTCAATTTAATTGTAACACAAACAAAAATGACGAGGCAAAGTATTGTGTCGAATTCGGAATCAAAGCAAAACAATTCATCTTCTACCATATTATCTCATAAACCCCCTCCCATTCCTGGTAAATACATTTCCTTACCATTGTGTGATAGGCAACTTTTGAAAGACCTCGACATCAACAGTTCCACTTGTTGGGTCGATTCTATGAGGGCTTCTTCCCCTACTCACCTCAAATCCACTCCTTCTCTTGGACTCGTAAGTCGTCCTCGATTATTACTTTTGATACAGAATATTCTGCGTATATTTTCTACCGCGAAATTAATTAAATCTATTGGTTGTTTTTTATTATAGTTGGAGCAGCCCTCGGCGTTGGACATGTTCGAGCAAATAATAAAGGCGTCAAAGGGGAAACAAATTGTGATGTTCTTGGATTATGATGGAACTCTGTCTCCAATCGTTGAAGACCCTGATCGAGCCTTTATGTCCGATGCTGTATGTCTATATTATACTTCATATCTTTTAACACGGCATTACTACTAGAATACAAATAAGTTGAGTTTGTAACATATTGTATTGATTGATATGATAATATAGATGAGGAGGACAGTGAGAAAGTTGGGTAGATATTTTCCAACGGCAATTGTGAGTGGGAGGTGCCGAGACAAAGTTTACAACTTTGTCAAATTGACTGAGCTGTACTACGCTGGTAGTCACGGCATGGATATCAAAGGCCCCGCTAAAGGCTCCAAACATGTTAAGGTCATTACTTTTATTTTCTCCTCGTCTTTTAATTTATATATGTGACTATTAATTTCGGACAAGAATAATTTATCCTCCATGTAGAATTAAGTATTAATGTGGGTTTGTTTTGTTTTGTTTTGTTTTGATCTTCAGAAAAGTCAAGCTGTACTATTTCAACCGGCTAGTGAATTCCTACCTATGATCGATGAGGTTAGCTTTATTTTTATTTTTATTTTTATTTTTATTGTTGTTGTTCATTTATGATGAGTTTTTTAAATGAAGAGAAATATATAAATATTGACATTTTATGAAAATGGATAATATTACAGGTTTATAAGACACTTTTGGATAAAACTAAAACAATACTTGGAGCTAAGGTGGAACACAACAAATTCTGTCTGTCTGTTCATTTTCGTTGTGTGGATGAAAAGGTATGTTCATTTTTTTTTTACCCATAATCAATATATATATATATATATATATATTCTATTAATAATATATGGAGTATTAATTAAGTTGTAATAATTTGATTAATCAAACAATGCAGAAATGGAATGAACTGTCTCATGAAGTAAGGTCAGTGGTGAAGGAATACCCAAAGCTCAAACTCACTCAGGGTCGTAAGGTAAACAAACAAGTCAATTTATTATGAGACGAGGAGAGTATTATTTTATTTTCGCTTTAACATCAAGTTGATTGCTTTTTTGGTAAAAAGAATATAAATTTATCTAAAACAAAAAGAAGAAAAGGATTGGGCGAAAAGATCTAATGTTATGTTCTCTAACGTAAAACAGGTGTTTGAGATCCGACCGACCATTAAGTGGGATAAAGGAAAGGCTCTAGAATTTCTTTTGGAATCACTTGGTAAGTTATTTCTGTGAATATATCACTATCATTTTTTAACTTTTTATTAAAAAAAAAAATAACAATATTCTTTTGATATAATTTCATTGGTGTTAAAGAAGCTGACCTTTGTTGGGTAGTTATTTATCACTATCATAATGAGATTTTGTCATTTTACAAAGTCCATTATTATAATTTCTAATTAATTTAATTAATTGATACAGGATTGGCCAATTGCACTGATGTTTTCCCTGTTTATATCGGTGATGATCGCACGGATGAAGATGCATTTAAGGTATCCTATGCTCCTTAATTAATCCTTAATCAACTTTTACACATACTTTATGATCACGTACTAATTAAACTTTTTCGAATGTACTTATTTATAGGTATTGAGAGACCGAGGTCAAGGTTTTGGCATACTCGTCTCCAAAATTGCCAAGGAAACAAATGCGTCTTACTATTTACAAGAACCATCCGAGGTAACTAATTACCCAATACTAGTCTCTCCTTAAATAACTAATTTCCATATTATTCCATTTTGTATTTTACTCCGTATGTATGTACAAAAATTTATAAACACGCTTCTATTTTGGGTGTAGGTGATGAACTTTCTACAACGATTAGTCAAGTGGAGACGCGTGTCCTTGAGAAGGCAGTTTAGGCTATAAAAAGCCTTGTGGATTTCTGACCATTTGGCTCTTCCCAATCTGAAATTTGTAAAGAATAGGGGATGAGGATTTGCTATATATGCATTATCCCTTTGCTTAGGATAATTTAGTAGGCACTAAGCAAGATTAAGTAGAAGTTAATTTAAGTTGTATAAAAAAAAAAGGCCTAAGAAATGAGGGGCCCAAAACTATGAAGCATGCATAACTATTGGAAGGAAGGATTAATTAAGCTTGTACATACATAATCAATCTTGTAACTAGAAAGTACTTGCAAGCTGAAGTGTATAAAGCTTTGCTAAGGAATGTAAGTTGTAACTTGTTGTCAATTAGTACTAATTTTGAAATCTAGCTCCCTTTTAATTTGTGAGCATTGCTTTAATTTCCACCAATTATATTACTAGTAAAGTACTATTAAATGATCTGTCAAGTTGCATTCCCCCTTCTTTATCTTGCAATCACTAATTCAAAGTTCAATTATTTATTTTATATATAGCCATAGTAGCTAAATTGTGTGGAATTTTCAGAGTTCAGTTTAAGAACTAAAACGGTTTGAACTTAATTAGGTCAATCATAAGCCAATAATAGAGGACAATCTGCTAACGTAATCAATTAATATTTTAAGAAGTAACTTCTCACTTACAAAGAAACACTAGTATATTTCGTTAATATGGGACAACAGTTACACATACTCACATATAATTTGTTTATAGAAAATCACCACTCTTCATTATATTTCACTCACATGCGAGTCACATTGTGAAATTTTCTTAATAGTTAAATAAGTGTGGGCGGCGCCTGTTGTTCTTTGAGAAATGGTCAAATGTATGCACACCAAATGGTTTATAAAAAGTATCCAATTGGTTTAATTTGTTTGTTTGTGTGAGTCAAAACTGTCTTAAGTGTAACTATGTACGAAATAGTTTGACTAATTTGTTAATCAAATTTCTTCTTGTTTTTTTTCAATATTTTTTGGGGGGGTTTAATTTGGACTTGTGATGAGAGGACTCATCAATCAGTGGACAAGAAGAACTGACATGTTCTGATTCTAAGCACCCTTGCCACTTGTAGTAAGCTCTTTTTTATGGTAAAGTTCCCTAGAGAAATAAGCAAAGGATGAAGATCGAGCAGAGGATAAAAAGGTAAGCTAAAAGTAAGAAGAAGAAGAAACAAAGCTACTCCTTCAATTATATAATTGGTAATAAGACAAGTGTTTGATGAAATGAAGATAAAAAAGTGTTGAATAAATGAAGAAAGTGCTTTTGGATGGATAACTGATTTTACTAGGGAAGGCAACAACCTTGTTCAATGTTCCTCGTAACACTTGCCTTCTTTCAAGAGGACACTCCATCTTAATTTTCAATGCATCTTTTATGCTTAATTCCTACTTTCTATTAGAGAGATGTATACATGGATTTTATTTTACTTTACTAATATAGATTAGATGATTTATATTAATATTAAGCTTCAAAAGGAACTTCAAAAAATTATTCTTCTTTATGTATTATTCTTCAAATTTTGAGATTACATTCTATTTCCTTGCTACTTTGTAGATTCGCAAGATCGTTGATATGTGTAGTTTGTTAAAAAGTTAGGATACACTATACACTTCTTAATTAATACGAAATTTATGATGATTTTAATTAAAAAGTGTTATAAAGAATCTTTGTAAGAAAAACAAACTCATTTATGACGAAGTAGCAAGTTCATCAACATGTAGTCAAACTCTTTACTTCAGGTAAGACGGAAATGTTTGTTGTGCACAATTAACAATTTTGTGGTATGATTAGGTATCACCATGCTTTACAATAATTACAAATAATGAGGGAGATCGGACTATGTGGAGTGAGATACAATCATACAAAACTTATTTTTAAAATAAACTTGTGAATAAACAATCACAATATTTACATGCTAAATCTTTGATTCCATGATTCAAGAGGTATGTTAACTTTGAAAATGCTCCAAAAAAATAACATACACTTGTCCTATAACCTGGGATGGGTTTGAAAGGTCATAAACATAGTTCACGCATGCATTAGGTATGAACTCAAACCCTAATCTTTCTGTCAATACTTTAGTACAATAGTACTATATTATCTCACAAGAACACACAAATATAAATTGAATGATTCTACTCTCATACAAACAATCAAACATAAGATATAATGCCAAATTACCAACACCTAACATGCATATTCCGAATACTTTTTCCACCCAATTCTTTTTTTTAATTTCTATGGTAAATGAATATATATAACCTGCCTTTTAGTAATGGAGCGTTGAAACCTCCCTTACATAATTAGAATTTGGACATACCATGTGATTGTAGACTGTAGATAGATGACAAATTCCATTCAGATTAATGGACACAACTTTAATTTGGAAGAATGATGCATGAGTTGGTGTCAAAGAATCAATATATTATGTATTTAAGGTTCCATATCATATATATTAGTGATGATTCTATTTTTATTTTTATTTTATTTTTTATTGAGGAAAAAGTAATGATTTTATATAATGGTAACTATACAATCTAAATTCTTAGCTTATTATTTCATATAGGCTAGTGTATTTTTTAATCTTCGGTAAATACCTAAACGGACAACATGTGATTATAAATGCAATTTTTAAGTAAAGTTTCACTTGCTTATGTAATATATAGAGAGACTAATATATAAGCATAATTTCTTTTGTTTTATAGAAAGTTAAATTAAATTTTTAATGAAGAAATAAATGCGCCATAAATCATGCTTTTATCAATCAAAGAATTCAAATTTACAATAATCTACATCCAACCGAAGTTACAAGTTCATGATAAAACCAAAATAACAATTGATCACAAATTTAAACAAACAAAATAATGGAAAAATAAAAGTTAATCTGCCAGATAAACGAATTTTTGTTACTCTGATGGTATTTTTGTAAATATATTAAAAAAGCAGGGTCATTTATTCAGTACTTTTGGTGAGCTGTTCAATTACTGTTTGTTTTTTGCTTTTACTGTTTGGTGAGGAAATTACACATGTACCCCTCAACTAATACATGAAAAGACGCATATACCCCTCCATTTATACCCCCAAATTTATCTGGAGAATTAACTGGATATCCCTCCAAAATAATATTCATGTGAAAGTTTTGCGTGGCAAAAGATCAATAAATTCTTGACCGATCTCTAGCTCTTTCTTATAAGATGGACCTCAACTACTACTTTTAAACTCTTAAATTTAGCCATGTGATCACTAACTTTAGATTCAATACAAACAGTGACACACCTTTATTTTGGAAGATTGATGAGTTTTGTCTAGTATGCACACTTAATGAGCAAAATTTTTTATAAATAATTTTCTTTAATTGATTTACTTTATAAATCTAATTTACTTTAACTAAATTGTTTTTTTGATGGAATTAAATGTGGTCCTATCACTTTTATGAAAGTTCCATTTAATTTGAGACAAATAAATAATATAAACAATTTCTTACATTTTATGAGACAATAATAAACCTCTGAGATTATTGTTACGTTGTACAGTACTAAAATTCATGATATAATATGTCTTTGTCAATATATATTAAAAAAATAATAATAAAAAAAAAATAGAGTTTCAAACAATGAACTATACATTATTGTACTCTCAACGAAGTTCCTCATCACATGCCCGCATATAATTATATGTCCACTAAATAACCACTAAAACACACGTATCAAATGATTCATCCATTCGAGTCTCTAATATGGTAAGACCGTATGTAAAATGACTATCAATCATTATTGACTGATCTCGATCTCTAGCCAACTTCTACAAAAAAAACCAAAGATCACTGAATTGAAACAGTTCCATCATATTTACTGGATGAAAAGCTGTTATATCTAGTGCAAAAATGACATATAATTGGTGGGCATATATATCATGTTATACGACGACAAATATAGACAAATACATAATATAATCTATAGTTTTCCCAGACAATTTCTAATCCATCCAAAAAACTGAGAAGGTAACGTTGATATATAATTGGAGGGCCACCTTAATATATAGAAAAATAATTGTATAATATAAAGTTGAAGTTAACGTGTTAGGAGTTAAGGACCCCAGTTGCATGGTTTTCTATCAAAATCATGATCATAATATGGCAATGCATGGTTTCTTTCAATTTCAATAATAATCTTCAACCTTATTCTCCTCAGCATTGTTATCTCCCATGCATGCTGAGTCAAAAGGACTCTTTTTTGACAAATTTTATGGATTTTTCAATTATGGGTAATTTGTTTTTATTCTCAATAATCTCTCTTTTTCTTATGACTTTTTATCATCTTTTTTTTTTCTCTCTCTCTTTCCAATTCAACTGTTTTTAACTTCTTTGTCCGATCTATATTTGCTTATATGTATTCTATTCTTGGATTATAATTATCTATATGCTTCTCACCTCATCTTTAAATTTTAATTAATTGATTACTAGCTATTCATCCTCTTTTTCTTTCAAAAAGAAAATTACTATTCATCACCTCTTTTGCCTTTTAGTTGGGTTTAAAGGGAAAATTATATGAAGTGTTTTTTCACGAAAATTAATATGTATATTGTCTTATCTAGTCACTCAATAGTCATTACAAAAAGTTTTAAGTGTTTTGACATCGATCATGATTATTAAATATCTAACGTTCAAACATATGACATGTTTTCACGTTCATAAACAATATTGTACTGCATAATATATCACATTCAATTTAAAGTTGTCTGGAAATAAAATATAGTGTAAGTACGTAATTTTAAAGAATGTAATAAGATGAGCGACTTTTTAATATTATCATGATATCAACCTTTGTCCATGAATTTCATTGTAAGATATGGATATGAGATAAATAACATATGTGGTGAAATTAATACAAAATTGAGCTTCATAGCTTATTAAGATATTATCATGAATGGATGATACCATCCTTTGTCCATGAATTTCATTGTAAGATATGTATATGAGATTAATAACCTTTGTGGTGAAATTAATAATTGAGCTTCACACTTGTATTATTTTGTAGCTCAATTTTATTTTTTTTAAAAAAAAAATCATTAAACAAAACATTTTAATTTTCAAAGTAAACTCGTACCGTGTTTAAGGGTGAGTTACATCACCCTGGTCATAAACTAGCAATACTTCTGCTATGTTCTTTTGAGCTACTCTACTGACACATGTTCTATTCTACTGAAACCTGCTTTGATCTGTTGAAATCTGCTCTGTTAGTTCTAACTACTTGTCCAGAAGCTCAAAAGAACAGGGTATCCTTTGCAAAGTTTTACATATTTAAATTTATTTTCATTATTTATAATGTATTTATTACCACTTGTCATGGAATTTTCACTAATTTATTTGAGATAT